AATTATGACCTTGAAATATTTACAAGCAAATGATTTAAAACTATTTTGCAGGCAGCTTTTTTGGATTTAGTCATATTTTTAGAACATTTGTTTTCAACAGTAAACAACATCACTATGATAAATAATGGCTTGGAAGTTACTATCCTAATACAGTAAATATTTTACCGAGTTTCATATACAAAACAGTATGCAATTCAGGCCACAGTTATTCTCCGTTATATTGTATCATGTGAACGTAAACATTTCAAACAGCAGGGGTAGCAGTTGTAGGTGAACTATCAACAGAACTGTCTTAATAACAATATTGCAGTAAAGAAACAGTTTGTCGGCATCGTAACAGGCACAAACATCTCAAAATTGATTATTTTACAATATTGAAAAAAACAGGTATGTATAAAACTCTGCAAAAATACAATATTATCTAACTTATCGAACAATCAAATATACAAGTTGCATTGAGGCGACAATGATTTGTCAACAAAATGAAAGTAAAAATATACACACAATGAAGAATCATAGATTTGGTCTTTGGCTCTTACAGACCTTAATGAAAAGCTCCAACTTATCTCTTTTTACTTATTTTATTCAGATATACAATAATTATATTACTGTTTACATTTGTGGACTACTACAGTACATACCAGGGCTGAACTGTACATGGATTACTATTGGCTTAGACAAACACAAATAGCCAATAGGCACTGAGAACTGAGAGGCAAGGTCCAATTAGGGAGCAGCTTCTAGCAGTAGCATCCAGCATCTTCGGGGGAAGGGTCTTGTTCCATTGGTTTAGGTATAATAACATCATCTAGAGGTTCGGGTTAAGGAAAACTTCACTGAAAAGGGCTTGCAGAATATTAATATTAAATATTCATGAGCCACATTTTTCATATATGAATATTCATAATTAACATATTTAAATTGTTTTATTTCCTCTTTTTAGCCAATCTACCTCAAATTTAAATAAATAAAAAATTATGTACAACAAATAATTGTGTAATATTATCAAGGTATCATTTATAATGTATATACTTTAATAACATGCAATGTTCCAACAAGCAGACTGCATATACTATACAGGTAAATAATCTAAAACATAATGTAAGATTCTATATGGCAAGAATATACATGTTATAATAGGTATACGCTATAGGTAATAATGCTTGTTATACAGCTATGAATGCAATGCACGTTACACAACTCTCAAATAGAAGTTATATAACTATTATATAGATAGCTTGAGGTCATCTATATAATACTGTTATAAAATTGTAAAAAAAATCTGGCAGATAATTTAAATGATTCTCTGATTGGCTAATGATTTAAATTGAATTGTTAGCCAATCAAAGACAATGGCCATTTAATATAAACTTTGAAACAATAACACAGTAAATGAAATAAACAGAAAAACAACATAAAAGCTTGATATTTTCAAATGTTTTAATACAAAATCTGCAGAAATAATGGAGTCTGTAATGTTACAATTATTTATATTTGGTTAATTACCACTTTCAACATGATGGGATGCATAGATTAACTCAAAGATGTGTTGTAGTAAAGTCTAGGAACTCAAAACAAAAAAAATCAAACACCGTTTTAAATTGCTCATTTAAAAAATCAAATAAGTCAGGGAGCATCCATAATTTTCGCTAGAGTACAAAACATAGGCTTTGGGGGCGGTGCAGGAGGGGTTGACAGTGTTGGCATATGTACCCTTTTATGAAAAAAATGACCAATATGAACAAAAGCATCATTCTATTGTGTAATCTTTCAGGGAAACGGTTACAGTAAAGAGTATGGTTAGTACACTTGTAAAAATTTTCAAAATAGGCAAGTTTCGCATGCGAACGCATACGGATAGTGTAACGTATACGTCATCATTTATGACATCATACGCCAGTTGCTATCTGCTAACCGGCGTATGGATTTTTAGTATGATTTTTTTTCACATTTTACAGAAATTAAAAAAATTAACGTATCTTTAATATATACGTGCCATTTTTGTGACTTTTGAAGACAGCAACTTACGATAGGATGCGTTTCATTTAGGGTATTAAAAAACTTCAGTGCTTGGTGGTGTCAGGATTTTCCTATACACCTAGGTCTAGCCTAGGCATAGCTTATTATAGTAGCTAGGCATTTTCGAGTCAGGAAATAACCAACTCTTCTGGGCAACAAGGGAAGGAGTATTACGGTATTCGGCTACCACTTGCAATTTCCAAAACCTTACATACCAAAACTTTAGGACATGCCATAATGTGATTTTGAGAAGCATAATGAGAAGAAAGCGAACTAGCATAAACCTAATACCCGATTCACACGTGTGAAGTTAAATTTAACAAAAAGTAACAAATTGTAACCGAGCGATCTCCCGAGTTATTCCTACCGAGATAAAAAGCATTCACACGCGTCTGTAAGGTAATGCCAAGGTTGTGTAAAATTTATTCAGTGTTTATGCAATGAACCATTTTTCCCCTACTGCGATATAGGTCTAGTCTAGGCCTAGTTGAGAACCCCTGTCACAGATGGACTGTTGAACTCACCATCACAGTAAACATTCGAAGCAATCAATACCCTTAACAACTCCTGTCTCTTATACACATCTAGATGTGTATAAGAGACAGCTTATAATACTAGTAATAGTACTAACACCATCCCGACGTTCATTTTATGTATATCTTCTTCTTCTACCATTACTAATTAACATCAATAACAAGGGTAATTCATTCATCATTTAGAAAAAATAGGCCTATCTATTTCTAGTAGATCAGAATCGTATACAGAAGGAAGAAAATTCAAAGAACCCCGTGAAACAGTAGATTGTCGTTGTGTTGAAATCCCTGCGCATGCGCAGATCCATCCATGTTACATCTCGGAAGCTTTACCAGCCTCAGCGAGGCTGGTAAAGATTACCGAGACGTTCCGAGATTTTACAAGGATATTACAAGGAGGTACTTTCACACGTGCCGTAAAATGTTACTTTTGGTTACATTTTGTTACATTTGGTAAGATTTTTGTACGTGTGAATCGGGTATTAGGCAGGGCTTAAGGCCCGATGCTTAAATTTTGCTGTCATTGCAAAAAACACAGTATGGCTACAAACCGTTACGGATACCTAAACGTACGCATACACATTCGTTTGCGTGCAAAACCTCTCTAATAATAGACGTCCCCTTATCAACTTCCAAAATCCAGTTTTGCTAATTAACACACATTTTCCGATGAACGTCCTATATCACCATCCAACCTAAGGGTGTATGCAAAAAATATAGGAAGAGTGTTTTGTGTGTGTCTGTATTTTGTTATTCTCAATTGATAGCAACAACTTATTAAAAAATATAAAGTAAGCAAATTAAATATTGAATCTTGTTTTAAAAGTTAAAAGTTAATAACAAAAGTTAAGTTATTATAAGATAGTAAATGAATTAATATTAATAAAATAATCAAAATAAAAAAAAACCTACTACTGCTCAAAGCATAACCCTAGGAACTATATTATAGCTATGTCATAGTTCAGTCTTTATCTTTACAAACTATTATTTAGTTTTATAAAAAGTAACATTTGGACATAAAACTTTGGCACACAAATTTTGAAAATAAACATTTTACCAAATAAATAAATAAAATAGTTTCTGAGTGTCAGTTTTAAAAATAAATTATGAAATGTAATTTGTGAATACATATATTATATATAGTTTACATTATATAATATTATGTAAATAAATAAAAATTATTAAGTGCAGATTAAAACTGATTTATCAACATCTGTTCCAAGGTGTAAAATGTAACATGTTGTAATAATAAAAATCAATAACTAGAACAGTCACTCCAACCCTATAATACATGCAGGGGTTTATGGGTGACACAGACAATTCAATTAGTTTCTTTTTTGCTCAAGGGATAAGTTTCAAGGAAATTTGTTGAATTTATGTGACCGTGGCCTTTGACCCCAAAATTTAATCAGCCTTTTTCTTAATATCACCACACTAAGCACCACACTACTAAATTTGATAATGATTCATTCATTAGTTTTTGTGTAATTCTGCTGTCAAACAAACACTGTTGAGTATATAGCCTCCTTCAAAGAGGCTGCAATTTTTAATAAATTCTATCAATGGTTGTAACCAGTGAAGAGTCTGTAAAAGCAGAATACGGAGGGCATCAAATTTTCAATTATTGCTAAAATTATCTACTGAGGTACTGTACTGTGATTTTATGTATTATGGTACAGTATGTTAATCACTGGAATTTTTACATACTGTATTGACTTTTGGTTATGTTCTTCAGAAACATATGAAATATAGGTTTAACACTGGTATATTATATATTATCTGAAGGGGAATGGCTGGGTATATTTTAATGTATCAAAATGAGGCTAAATCCCTTAAAAGTTTAGCATGTTTGTCAATGGTGTGACCTTTGACATTTACATCAGGAAATTTACAGAAAATAAAACCAACCATGTTATGTATATAAAAGAGAATGGTACCAGTGACTCATTTTACATGTACAGTACATATTATTTCAAGTCACATATTAGCACTATCAAACTTAACTGCAATATGCATAATTTAATAATATATGACAATAAAAACAGTTATCAAAAATAATAATATAATAATAATAATAAAATTTTGTTCAATAACACCCAAAAAACAGTGACAAAAAATGTGTTTATATACAGAAAGCAAAAAACGCAAAACCTATGACAAAAACAAAGCGTGATCCATTTATACAAAGTATACATTATTAAGGATACCAAGGCCCATAAATAAATTCTGCATTTAAAATGCAAGTTAAAATGTCTAAAAGTCAATGCTTATCTTTATAAGGTGGGTCAAAAGGTTGCCAAGGTTATTATCAGTTTATATCCATAAGCCAATATAAGCTTTACATAATTTCTGAATACACTGCAATCACCGACTACAGTTCACAAAGTTATGCAATCAGCTTTTATTACTACATCCTAATCAGAATTTTAAATGACCAGGCCTGAAAAACAGGATCCTGTGGGTGGCAGGGGCAAATGCTCTTAAGCTCTGTTTACACTATCAAATTTTGTGTGACAAAAACGTGTGATATGCCCATATATAGGCATGATGACATCACACCATGACCATATATAGGCATAGCATTACCATATATGGGCATGTCACATTATTTTGTCAAAGAAAATTTTATAGTGTGGATAGAGCTTTAGGCTTAAGCACTCTGAAGCTGGGCACTCACTGCGTGGTATGACGGTCATGTGACCATCGTACAACGAATCCAACTCTGCTCCCTGCGTAAGCTGGAAGAAGCAACGCCGTCTGCTTATGTCGGTGGCTGTCAGAACGGATCGTCATTAAAAACGATCTGTAGCGCACACGCTGTCGCGTTGCGTTATTCATAGAATTGCATCTACCGAGGACCGTCGGGCGCTGTTAGTTACCTGGCTTTACATGTAACTTGTGAATTTTACCATCATCTGATGGTTGTTGACACATAAGGAGGGGTAATATGGTATATCAGAGGAGTTTCCCACTTGAAAAGGGGTTTAGAAAACACCACTTGCCAACTGGTTACAAGCCTGATGACCTATACAAGCTTTGTTTCCATGCTACCACTTCTATACATACTATTTTCTAAAGACAATGATAAAAATGTTGTGCTCATTACATTAAATATTTTAGTACCATAATTACAAGATTTTCACAAAAAAAAAAATCTGAATTTAAATGTTTGGACACGATAGAAAAATACTGACATTATCTGCCCCAAAATCTAACAGTTTATTTTGGCTAGATTTGATGTTTTTTCTACCTATAAGCCCAACCCAATTTAATGGTAAGAATAATCTATTTGACCAATCAAATCAGTGCACAGCCCACACCCACCAATCACAGAGGCTGTTTCATCAGCATGCACAGCCACCGGTTTGTGGTTGAGGTTCCTGGGAGCGTGTGTTTGGGTCAAGCTTGATGTCGATGACTGAGCAAAAATAATGTTAAGGAAAATAAAAATACAACAGAAAGAAAACAAAAAACATGATAAATAATAATAACATGCAAACTAAATGAAAGAAAAGCAACATGTCATTAAGAACATTCTTTTAAATAACTGCTTCAAAAATGCATTTGAAAATAATTAATTTGAATACGTAAAGAAAATAGTAAAATCACTTGTACAATGTCTTTATAATTCACTCCCCCTTCCCCCATCCCCATCTCTGGATGGTTTCATACATAATGAGAAATAATATGTTACACACACCTTGAAACAACAAATTAAGGCACTATGTAAATAACATATTCACCAAATTGGCCATAAGTGTCATATCAGCCAATTAGAGGATGAAATGTTCTGAATGTTTCATTTTAACGTAGTAGGATGAATTTACAAATTTGTCAACTCTACAGTACAAATACTATATTGTCTAAACAATGTACTGGGAGGGAGTTGATGGTAATTTAACATGTTCCCTACCAGCAACTCAAGTCCAAACCAGTCTGAGCATAGCACTTTTGTATTGTGTTAAACTTGCTGGCACTGGTTGCCAAAACATAAATTCTCACCCTAGCAAATCAGTGAAGGACCCTAAAGCAATGGTCTAAAAGTACTATTCAATTGTTTTTTTGTGTGTCATTAAGGTTAATAGGAAGATGTTCATAAAGGTGGCACCCTCTATGCCTTTGCATATGGGAAAAAATCTTAGCAGCCAATGCGTTAAATCATTATTATTATTATTATTATATCGCACATAATATAGGAAAGTCTATGCGCATTTATTAGTCTGTTATTGAAATAGACTAAAACCAAAATGAAAACAAACGTTTATAATAAATTTTCATTACACCAAAACAAATGTTAATAATAATATTTCATTACACCAATCGAAAAAAATAGAATCACCTCATCTTTGATTTGCTGTTCTTTGATTAGAATATGATCATTACAAACTAGGTTACAAATTAAAATGTGTTATATAGAAATAGTTAAAACAAAATTCATGCATCACATATTAAATGGTACCATATGAAATGAAGAAATGTAAAAACAGAGTAATAGAAATGTTATAATGATATTCAGAGTGCAATGATTATTTTCAAAGACATACACACCTACCTTCGTTATTGATTTACCTGAAAGAAATTATAAGCACCAAAAATACTCTGGTATTTCAAAATATATAATTGCTACCTATAGATCCACTTTAGATGAAAAAGTACATGAAAATTAGTTTTCTTTATATAACTATTGATAATATTTTCTTATTGATTTTGTATTTAAGATCTTGTACTACTATGTTTTGTTTTGGTTCAAATGTTAATTTCAAATTTGTTTAAAATATAGGATTTAATATTCTTCACTTTAGATGTGTTGTATTAAGAGGGAAGTGGTTATGATTAATTTCTATATCTTTTTATTATTTCTATGACATTCTGAAATATAATTAAGACATGCTAGATATGTTTGTAAGAATGCCATCCATTCCTATTAGAGTGTCCTCAATCAACATAAGGGAGATTTTGATTGAGAATGTAGAACAGATTCACTCATCTATGACTGTCATTCTGTGCGTTCTATGTTCTACTTTAAATAAATTTCTATTTTTTACGACATGTACGTAGATACCAAATTTTTTTAAATAAACACCTCAGGGCATTTATTTTTGAGAAGGATTTTTTTTTGGGAGGGGGGGGGGGGGGGGTGGTGTTTTTTTTTTGTTTATTTGAGGTAAGCGTTTATATCTTTTTATTCTATTCATATAAAGCCCCTTAAAGTGTCACTGTAAATGTGGAAATACAACACACAATCACCGTCAAAATGTGTTATTGCGTGAACATGAAGACTTAACGATCCCAACCAGATTAGAAAAAATGTAATTCTACTGGAGCAGAACATTAATAGAATGTGTCGGGAACGATGTTGCTTCCATTAGATCTGTTTACAGTCATTTGTTGAGCAGGGGGAGTTTATTTGGAGGGGGAGGGGGAGTTTATTCGAGAAAAAAAAAATGCCTGGGGCATTTATTTGAGGGAGGCATTTATTCCAAAAGAGGCTCAGGATAGGGCTCGGGATTCAAAGCGGGGCATCCATTCAAATTAATGCAGTATGTCACGAATTCAAAGACTGACGTACCAATGTTTACTCAGTGAAACAGACCTTATTCTGGCCTGAATGTAGTATCGGCCAAAACCTTTCCAGATTTCAGGACAGAACGTAACGCACAACGATCAGACATGCGCAGTTAACATTGTACATCGATCAGACATGATCAGACATCGATCAGACATGCGCAGTTAACATTGTACATCGATCAGACATGATCAGACATCGATCAGACATGCGCAGTTAACATTGTACATCGTCACAAATCTAAAGTTCCATATAGTTGAAATGAAACCCACAATGCCAACTGATGCAACAGTCAGTGTTTACTCAATGTCTTCAGAGAAGATGATTTAAAGCACTAGTATTAAGTAAACTTTATAAAATGATTAAAGTATTAATGTCACCAATTAAATAATATCCAAAATAACATTTACATTAAGATTTTTAGTACAAGGCCAAGGAAAAAAAATAGTTTTTACTTCGTTCCTTTGAAAAAGGAATGAGGATGTACATTGTTTTCTCATGGTTTTTTTTAAACATGAGCACATAGGAATACTCATGGCTTATGATGATGTTTAATTTCTGCTGGATTTTATGTGTATTTGTGTAAAGGAAGGAAAAAAAGGCTCTGTCTCCACAAAAAATGGAAGGGGTAGGAACTTCTTTTTCACCTTATACTTAATAATACATATTTCAACCTCAATGTATTGAATGAATAATTAAAATAACAAAATTAATAGACATCTCACCAATGTAATACAACATGAATACAAAACTCTTTAAAAAAAAGTTAGTAATTACAAGACCATTTATATTTTTGAAGATTTCATTTTGATAGTATGATTATCTTCCTTCTGCCTAACTCTCTTCGAGTAGAGAGATCAATCGACATGTCACAATAAGTGAAAGATATGAGCAAAATGAAACAGAATAGATTCTGAAATGAGACAAAAATTATGTATGACTATCAGGTTGCCTAGCAACATTATAGGCTAACTAAAGAGAACATATGGTAATTTTCCTGAAGATTGAAATGTTCTACCAAAAAAAAACTATGAATTGAAGGCCAACTTAAATTGAAGGAGGAAAGGAAAATAATTATAATCCTCCACATAGCACATTGCAATAAACAACTGCCTCTATGCACTTTACTATTATTACCCTTGGTCAATGATAAGACATCATGAGATTCCAGTGAACACACTGTTCTATTCACAGTTGGTACTAGACCCTACCATGTACACACAATCTTGTGGCCACACAACCAAACTGCATGTAAATTACAATTTTTTTTTAAAGTTAAAATGATTGCAATAAAAATACAGATTCACAAAAAAAAACAAAAAAATGATGAGGACAGAACAACAATTAATTAAAAACTGATATATAGTAGTGGAGAAATTGTCGCAGACTCAAAGGGGGTTCATGAAATTAGGTATTAAGTACCGGTAACTTTATGAAATATGGGATTGGGCAGGCCTAGTCCTGTAGCTTTCCTCCCTGGATGTGACCAACCAATTCTAATTATCACTGTGTGTGACAACAACTCTTAGCCATCGAAAAAAAAAAATCAAACAATTCACAATCAGCATCCAACCCATCTCATGCAAAATCACTACCCTAAAACTATACCCAATAAATGTTGCACCCAAATCTTTAAACATCTGGATGTGCAATGCTGTATTAACATGATGAGGATGATACCAGATGTGTGAGCGTATAGACATGGGTGTTTGGTGAGGCTGTGCACCCTAAAAAACACTTTGCACATAAATAACATCAATGACTATAATGAAAAGGATACGTTCATTGGGGTTTTTCTGCTCTGTTGTTTCCATTCCGGGAAGTGCAGCAGCCACCCTTCGGAAAAGCTGTACAAATAGAATTTGCAAAAATGTATAAAAAAAAACAACACAATATTAAGTAGTTTTATAGACTTTAATTCAAAAGCACTTTTAGATCTTGCACATACAATACATAATACCATAAGCAAGGTAAACATCACTGGCTTTAATGGAATTGCTAAAAATATTGGGAAAATTAGATAGGGAGAAATTAATATTATATTTATTTATTTTTTCTTAGTTTTTTTTTTTTTTAAATAGATTTTTATATAAATTTAAACAATTTATACATGTAACTGTACCTGTTTGACATTGTAACCAGACTTCGCACTCGTTTCAATAAACAACACATTCAAATCTTTTGCTTTCTTTTCTCCTTCATCAATAGATACTTGTCTGGAGAAAATAAAATGAACAAAAAAAATCAGATGCTAATAGTTATTTGAATGAAGGTACTGTAGTAAACACTGTTGTACGCCCTATTCAATGGACCTTTCTGCCAAGCCCTGGCCGCTGAATATTGATGTTATGTCCAACAATAAGATAGTGTAAACATTTTGTGGAACACACATTTGTAGGGCAAATGCATAACATTAGCAATGTTCTGATTGGTCAATTAAGTTTGATTGTCACTGCGGAAAGGTCTATTCTAGATGCAGGATCAAAATATGGTGACCTTAAATGCTCTCAATATGATATTTTGAGTTGTAGTTGGTCAGTGCAACTACAGTAGTTGCCTTGCCCCATTGGATATCCTGTAGTAATGCTCCAGACATCTAGCACACTACGACGTATGGTTAATCCAAATGGCAATCAGATTTTTATCGCTGTAAAAACTTCTATATTTGGTGTCAATGAGGGTCATTCAAATTAAATAGCAGTTTAATAAATACAGATTCATATAGGATATTTAGGTAATTTATTTCTCAATTAGCAATGTAAATATGATAATTTTTCTTATCTATTCTGTGGCAATTAATTCTCCTAATTCACCAGAATTCCTAAATGACTTTAGTAATCAAAGCAAGGAGCAATCTCACGGTAATGAGATCTGTCCAAAGGCCAGGCAAGTCTAGACTAATGACTATTGCTAATTGGTCAAAATCATGATTGACAGCCTAATGACAGATCCTGATTGGTTGATAGGATGGTTGACACATAACAAGTAGGATAGTGATGGATAATACTTTGGATAGTCTCTTGGAATTACTATCCATTTCATTATTATCGACTTCCATATTTTCTTAATGATTTCCTTGGTTTATGCCATCTGGTACATCAGATACTGCAATATCATATTCCTATCATTTCCACTCATTATCAACAACTGTTATCACTTTAAAAGCATTCTAATACCAAAAGATAAGTGTGTAATCATTACCAATATATTAAATACATACTGTATCAATGAAATCAAATTTAACATATAAAACAATGTTTTTAAGACAACAAAAAGAGAACATTTAGGCCACGTAAAAAAAGTAGTTTCTTGTCCTAATATTTTGACAAAAGGAGAATAAGGGCACTTTTTTTTTTTAATTTGGAGATGACAAATCCAAGACGAGAAACTAGAATTTTTTTTTATTTGGCCTAATGATTTAGATTTCAATAATGTACTGACAAAATCATATTCATAATTTCAGGAACAAGACATTAAAGAACTATGGTAATGAACTAAATTCTAATAAATTATATGATGGTCTTTGCTGTAGATATTTCTGATTATATTTCCTCTGATGGTTTTTACAGTTGACAATTTCATGTAAAATTCATATAAACTTACAGGAATTGATAAGTAATCCTGTATTGACTTTTTTTTCTTGGTTCTTTTAATGGAAAAGTTCATTGCATGAAAATTGAACATTTCATGCATGGCCTAAACAATCTATCTTGGTTACCAAAACACAGAAGAAACACCTTCTCTAAAAATCAGAAGTACCTTACAACTGCTTACCTTTTATCTGCTAAATCTGTTTTGTTGCCTACTAGCATTATAATTACATCACTTCCTCGTTCCGTTCGGACATCATCAATCCATTTTGATGTCTGATGGAAGGAATTAGCATCTAGTTGGAGAAAAATAATCAAACTGATGATGAGAAAGATCATACACTTGGTAAGTACACTTATCAATCATACTGGATTGGGTTGAATTTATTCAGTGTAAACACCAAGGATAGCCCACGAAAGTCTAGAAGAAGACTTATATCCAGTGGAGTCCTTCTGATGTTGATTGGGCAGTACACCGGGAGACAATCCCCACTCTTTTCCGAAGAGTGAACTGTGTTCTTTAACGTGCACATGGGCCATAAATGCACACGGGATCAACGGCTTAAACGTCTCATCCGAAAGACGGTGTGCTATTTCAACTTGCATTTCAGCCCTCCAGCTGAAATACAAGGAGAGGCAGCGATGGGAATTGAACCGGAGACCTAGAGATCTCCACGGTTCAGCACACACACAGTGGCTACCACCAGATTAGCCAACTGAGCTAAGCTGTTGGTCCCGTTAAAAAAAAAAATTGATATTGTGCCCCAGATTTGATTATTTTCATTCTAGCATTTAGTATGATGCAGAGTCTTCATTTCTATATTATTGAATTTTCTTGAATACAATCCAATTCAATAGTTTTTTGAAAGAAAAGAAACCTGTTGTATGCTCTTATATAATCATGATCATGGATGTAGTTATGGTGGGCGGGGCCACCCAGTCTTGGAAGTTTTCCACCCAGTCTAAAACTAATTTCATGGCCCTCCACCCACCTTCATTAACCTACTTCTCCATCCTTAAAATCCACTTATTATTAAGAGTTTAGCAATGTTATCACCCACACCTACCCTTAAAATGTCTATCACACACCCTTAGTTTTTTACAGCTACAACCCTGCATAATGTGCCTATCACAGTATGGTCACGATGACATCATGACCACATTTACTGTAGGCGTGTCTCGTATGTTTTTGTAAAAAAGAATTTGATAGTTTGTACAGGGCTTAAGACGGGGAAAAAATATACAGTATATAATATGTATACACTGTACAATAAATCTTGTTAACAGAAATATATTATACAGAATATATAGCGTGTTACATTGCTACTGAATGTCAGCATTGAAAATGATTAATCATTGTTCAAAGACGTGTCCAGACAGCTTTCATATGTATAATATTTTTTTCTTCTGCTGATAGATCAGACTTGCCTTTAAACAAATCATAAATTAATATAATAACTGCAGACAGTTCGCAGTTCCCTACTGAAATATAAAAATATGGACAGAAATATCCGACGCAATATGAATATAGAGCATTTGTAAAGTCACAACTCTAAGTGACCTCAGCAAAGGCTCTACCTAAGGCGGTCGATACGGCCGACCGCCTCCTCATCAAAGCTACTATTACATCATGTTTTTCAACAGATGTAACTGCATTGTAAACTTAATATTAAAATAAGTACACGAAAATAAATAACAATCTTTAGAAGGTACAGTACCTACTTATAATATATACATAGGACAATATACTGTATGTCAAGTTTTTAAAATTTTTTTATAGGTTTTATTTGAAAATCATTAGGCCAGTTGAATTAGCTACTGCATGATAAACTATGGCGACAGTACAGTAGTTCTGCAGGTGTTAAGCAATAATGTTAATTTAACCAATCAAAACATTACCTCTAGTAGGTGACATAGCTATGAATAAACTAAAGATCAAAGCATTCTTACCCTACTGATCAAAGTTACCTACAAAAACAAAATAAGCTCCTTTGAAGCTTTAAGCCCATTGTTAAGCAATGGGTGTAGCCTACGTATAGCAATACGTTTAAACAATAGGATAGACCAGTTTTGAACAATAGGATAGACCAGTTTTGAACAATAGGATAGACCAGTTTTGCAAACTGTTAATAATGTTAGTATTGGAAAGTATTAAAACTAATTTATTACTTACATTACAGGCTACATTATCATTTTCAAGTATACCTTGTAAACCTAAACCTAAAACATATTGGAATGCCTCACAATTTCAAAACAGGACCTTGTTGAAGGCCTCTAAATCACATTTTTCTAGCAAGAAAACCGCCCGATTTTTTTTATCTCACACTCGTTCTCATAGTATACTGAATTAATTCATTTGATGTTGGGAATGTTAACATAACATAACATTTTATGTTAACATTCACTTGATGTTGGGAATGTTAACATACAAAATGTTACTAAAATTACTAGCTTTACTTGACATTCTATTCCATTTTAGAACTTCAAAAAGCAATTTAATAGTTGGCGATCAATTACAATGTGTACACCAAAACATGTTGATGAGGTTTACGATTTCAACAGATATTAGACAATTTCAGAACTAAGGAGTAATTCCCAATTTATCAATGATATAAAAAAAGCATTTCAAAACAGATAGAAAGGATGGTGTCAGCCTGGAAAATGGTTTTCTCAGAAAAAAATAAAAATAGAAACCACAGTTTAAGCACTGAAGTGTTATTTTCTATTTAATTTTTGTTTGTATTTGTGGGTCATTCCCAAGCCAACTCAAATTTTCAGAAAATCTTGGCTGGGTACCTTCTCAGATTTTCTGGATATAATACAGTATGCACCAACATGTCTAACAAACACACCCAAAATCTGACTTGCCAATTCCAAGTAGTTTAGAAGTTAACGGCCATTTGAAATTTCGGGTCATACTCCTTTTTAGCTCTCTATATATTTGTAAATACAGTAGTTGCATTTTTAATTAGCCATATCTTGAAACAGAATACTGTAAAACTAATTAACAGGAATACTGTATAACATGACTTTCGGTATACTCCTTCTTAGCTCTCTATATATTTGTAAATACAGTAGTTGCATTTTTAATTAGCCATATCTTGAAACAGAATACTGTAAAACTAATTAACAGGAATACTGTATAACATGACTTTCGGTATACTGGACCCCGTTACCAAAATATTGGTTCTTAAAGACCCTAACTTATTTGGTAGCATAATATTTTTGCCATTTTAGATCCCGGGCACCAAAATACCCAAATCAATAGTTTTTATGCAACACATTTTTATTATAGTTAGAAATGTTTCACTATAGTATACGGCCTCGTGCAAGAACACCACCTTGTTGAACTAGCTTCCGTTATACAAGAAAGACAATGATTATTATTTATTTATTTATCTAATTATTATTATTATCATTATTATGATTATTATTATTATTACTACTAAGTGCAGTAGACCCAAGATTTTAAATGCAGGTAGATTTCCATACTATTACCTAACATGTAACCAAAATGTGTCTTTTTTTTAGTATTCAATTATAGAAGGGAAATATAAAATATTGTCATCTTGTTCAACAAGAATAACAATTCTGTACCAAACACCTGGAATACGATCATTAACAAATATGAGGAAACACTTTACTGAACAAATTAAAAATCTGATTAACATGAGAAATAATTATATAGACCATTAAAACAAATTGCAATGTAATTAGTATTATAGAATTTTGTACTTGTTAATTACCGTACTCGCGCCCGGGCGCTTAAAATATTTTTGCACTTTTTGAGGGGTGCTTATTCAAACCGGTGCTTATTTAAATGGGGCGCTTATAAAAACAGAGTGGAAATTGAGGGGGCGCTTATGGAAATAGATGAAAATCGAGGGGTTCTTATGGGAAATTATTAAATTCAAGAGGCACTTTTTGAATGAAAAAAAGATTATATAAGGACATTACGAATGGTGGTCAGAAAAGATAATCGTCCAGAAAACATGGTTCATGACAAGAATGCGTGAATATTTACATAACAGCAAAATAGCAGATGCTAGTGGTTAGCTTGTTTGCCATCGGCCGATTGAGATTAGCAGGATGGCAGGATCATTGTATTTTTTCTTGAAAACTCAGATGAGAATGTGCAAGGTCGGGGGAAAAAAGGAGTAGGACTAAGCATAGACAAATATGTAAAAAGAGTAAAGTTGGAATATACTGTCTGTCCAGGGATCGGAGCTCTCATCTGTCCAAGAGAAATATCCTCATTTTGATATTGACCAAAGAAGAATGTGTTTCCACTCTACAGCTCAAATCATGCCAACAACCATAGTCATAGGATTGATTGGATTATTGACTTGCTAAAAAGAAAATCTTATGAGGGGGCGCTTGTTCAAATTAGAAGGGGGGGGGGACGCTTATTAGAAGGGGGGGGGGGACGCTTATTCAAACGGGGTGCTTAAGGAAATTCAAGTTAGGAGGGGCGGTTATTCGAGAGGAGCGCTTATTCAAACAGGACGCTTATTCGCACGAGTACGGTAGTTAGCTTAAAGATATATTATTCCATAAAAAACACCAATAAAATATTTAAAAAAACATTTCTGAAATTAACTTGCTAATTTTGAGGTAACATAAAAATTATTATGCTTCTATTTTTTAAAAATCATTATTGAGTATAAAAATCAAGGTACACATTATATAAATTCAATCATTTCTATGCTCAAGAAATAATTTGTATGTTACTGCAAAATGAGCAATTTTCAAAATCCTTTTTTGTCATTTACAAAAATGAACTTCTAGATTAATGAATTCCAATGAATCTGTGCATATTGAAATGCTTTACATCACCATTTAGCGTCAAGCAAATTATTCTCCTTCTGGCTAAATATCAATATTATCATTAGTAATCAATATAGAAAATACATTTTTTTTGGTTATCAATACATAAAGTGATGGCATATAGCAAGATAAGCTCAGGCACGTCTGCATATTCATGTTATGTCTGGATAATTTTCATCAGTGGTTTGTATTTCACCGTATATTCTTGTACCGTACTTGTTGGGACTCTTTATTGGCAACGTTTATTTGAAATTATCTTTCTATCTGTGTATGATATTACTGTACGTGACCTAGCGGCCAATTTATTCATTAATCTGTCTGGATGAAGGTCTAGTCTAAAGTGGTGGCAGATGCAGAAGTAAGATGGGTAGATATTTATCAGATGATGCATTCGATTGCCATATTTTTCTGGAGTGGAGCTACGGTATAGTTTAGTGATTATGATGCTTGCCTTCAAATCTCAGGTTCCTGGGTCCAAATCCTGTAAAACGAGGGTTTGTTCTCATGTCTTAAACAACCCTCTCTGCCCCCTCCACCACCTTCCGTAAGTGATATCTCACTGTGGGTTCATTTGTGTTGAACACTTACTGTCAAAATAACAGTAACACAATTTTGGGGATAATACAGTAAAATTATGTGATTACCATTTACCATACGCTAAAACATAAGTAATAATTAGAACTGAATTATTTAAAAATTTGTTTATTGTTTCTTAACAAAATTTTTATGTGAATTTGAATCATGCAGCTTTCATATTTCCTTTTAAAGTAAGGGTCATTGCCGTATGTTTTCTTGCATATTTTGCTTTTCTTGCCTGAAACTTTACTGTACACTGGTGCCTTTAAGTGCATGTAAACAATATAAGAGGTTTTAGTACTGGCAATTCTCATTATCGGGGACATGAAGAAAAGAATGAGGAAGGTGCATGGTTGCGGGGCCGCTTGTGCTTGGAGCCAGGAGTTGACTGTTCTATTATTTTTCGAGGGGTGTTTCTCGTGTGAGAAAGAATAGGCAATTAGTCAGTTTATCCAGGTAAGTACTCACGAAGTAGACTACAAGTCTAAATAGTGCACCGTCTTTCACATAAGACATTTACGCCATTGGTCCTGTGTGTAATATGGCCCATGTGCACACTGAAGAACGTATTACACTTTCCAGAAAACAATCGTCGCCTGGATTACTCCCCAATTGTCTACCAGCAGAACCCAATATGTCTTTGGATTTTCATGGGTAATCCTGGATGTGTTCCAATAAAATCCAATCCAATCATACTTACTTGTGATATCATAGACAACGACTGCTACTGTAGAATCGCGTATGTAGCTGGGAATGAGACTGCGAAATCGTTCTTGACCTGCGGTGTCCCACAACTGAAGACGTACTGTTCGATCTTCAAGGTACATAGTCTTGGAAAGAAAATCTATACCAATTGTTGCCTGTAAGAAAGCAAACAAACAGACAATCAGTCAGAGGATATGAGGAGGAAGAGAATGGAACAGAAAGGAAAGAGGAAAAAATTATATAACACATGGAGAAAAAGGTAGGATGATTAAGAAGGAATGAGGAGAAATTTGGAGAAGGAAGCCCTAATTAACATTAATCTATAAAACATTGCTTAATTATTTACATGCTATAAACATACCTGATACGTGTTATCAAAACTATCATACATGAATCTTGTAATAAGTGACGTCTTGCCGACTATGGAAAAAACAAACCAAATTAATAAGTATTGTAAGTATCGTATTGGTAGCCTAAAAAATCAGTTGCTTTTAACAAACGTACTAAACATTAAGACCATAAAAAAATACAATGTATAAAATTAGACACAAATGAATCTACTATATGTTAAGTAAGGCAAACAAAAAACTTCTGGTACACATACATCTCACAAGTAGCGTTGACTTGTTGATTTTTATATACTGTAATTTTGTATCACAAAACAGGACCACATTTAAAATAGATTATAGTTCCTCCTGATATATCTTGCACCAACAAATGAATGAATGAATGAATAAATAAATAGGTCTCATAAAGTTTGTCTGACATTATGGTGGGATTACTACTATGATTGTCTCCAGAAGAATACAAAAAGATCATGTATGATGGGTGGAGCCACCCAGCCTTGAATTTTTCCATCTTTTATTGAGATACCAAGTGAATCATATCTACATGATACAATCATAATCAAAAGGTTCGGACAGGGTTTGTGGTGTGTTTTCAGGTATTTTTCACCAAAAAAAAATCAACATTTTAACCAAAAATATGTTGTTATGAACATAAACTTTTATTTTTTTTTTATTGTGATACCAAGTGAGTCCTACAAAAAGTAGGGCTACATGATGAAATCACAATAAAGTGGTCTGGTTGGGTTCTACAGTGTTTTTGGAGGTGTGCAGCGTTTAGCAATACCTGACACTATTTCCTCCATAAAATATCATTACACATTTGCTTTCAACAGTGTACAACACTTTCTATTACCCTGTATGTACTGTACCTGTTCAGCTTGTAATTAATATATTTTTATTGGCTGAATAGGCTAGTGGCAAGTTCCTATATTACAGCTTTAACTCGGAAATGCTGTCCTATAAAATTTACTTATCTATAGTATCATAATATGAAGAAAAACATCAGAGATACATATTAGAATGCGCAACAGTGATTTGATCGTAGGGTGATGAAAGATGCCTAGAAGGAAATGAGAACATCTAAAATTGATGTATCACAATCAACATTGCCACAAAGTAAGACCCAAAACATAGCCCCCTACAGTATATAAAATGCATTTACTGTAACAAGATTACACCTGGAAATGCTTGAAAATGTTAGCAGATCATGTAACCCTTCTTCTTCTTGTGTCAGAGGTCATATTTTGATATTGATGACTGTGCACAGATATAGTAGTGAATACAATATTAAGCTTGCTTTAGATAAATATGAAACAGTAATGCACAAAATGGCAAACAAATTTGCAACCACAATTATTTTAGTACAGTATTACTTTGTTTCAGGTTAAAGCATCTTTAGTTTTAATATTCAACTTTCCATGAGTGGAACTCTATCAGTATGGTAGCTTGGAGGCTAGGAATGATGCTGCCCTTCTAGTTCCAGGGTCCTAGGTTCAAATCCTTCAATGTTAATGAGTTCAAGCCATAGCTTGTTGGTAAAATGCTAGACTTCCCATCCCAGGTTCCTGGATTCAAATCTTGCAATGTTGATGGAGTGGAGCTGTGACTTGGTGGTAAAATGCCTTTTAATCCTAGGGTCCTGGGTCCAAATCCTTCAATATTAAGTAGTTCAAGCTATAGCTTGGTGGTAAAATGCTAGACCTCCAATCTCAGGGTCCTGGGTTCAAATCCTTCAATATTAAGTAGTTCAAGCTATAGCTTGGTGGTAAAATGCTAGACCTCCAATCCCAAGGTCCTGGGTTCAAATCTTGAAATGTTGATGGAATGGAGCTGTAACTAGGTGGTATTTTTTTTCCCTTTCAATCCCAGGGTCCTGGGTTCAAATCCTGCAAGGTTCAACTTAAAAAGAATGGACTGTCATCATTCTGGATGTGTCATTCCACTGCAGTGGGCTTACTGTAGTATTTAAAATGCTTGCCTTCCAATCCCAGTGTCTTGGGTTCATATCCTGCAACATTTGGTATGGAGCTACTTATGGTAGTAAAATATTTGGCTATGATAGAAATCGCAGATTTAGCAAACGCTGAAAATATGATCTAGTAAAATACAAACATATTGTAGCACACAGTATAAATCTAACAAATCATTCATTTAGCATCTAATACATACTGTAACATTAGGAATGAATCAGTTCTTGGTCTATTAACATGCCATGCCCAGAATAATAAATGTGTACCAACGACATTCAGGTAAGTATTCATGAAGTAGACAAATAAATATATAAATAAAAATGTATCAATTGATATTTTCTTATTCATTATCTAGCATTTCTTGAAGAGATTCCTTTGAAAATTTCATTTTTCCAAAGTCAAATTTGACATGTAAATAATTCAGCCAGTTGAAAATATACCCGAAGAGACTCGCTTTCATAAATATAGCCCACCTATATGAGTCACACAGCAGTCAGCATTAAATGGCAGAACTCTAGGTCACTCTTAACCTTAGGCGTTGTATTATGTGTTAAACCTGCTTAACATCAGATTAAGGAAAAGCAAACTTCTTCAGTTTTTTTTGTCATACCATACAACATTCAACTGTACTTACAGAAGTCCAACAGAATATCTGTCTGTTCAGGATGTTTAATTTTCAACATGGATGGATTCAGAAATACATGAAGGACTAACAAATTATTGGCAATTATTCTTGACAACTAATTCAGTTTCTAGCATTGATTTCTTTCTCAGTGACTAGAACAATTAGTAACTTGTAATATATTATTTGGGTTCACACATATCTAGGCCTACTATAATACCTGTGAGCTCTGTGTACTTACTGTACAGTTAAAATGATTATGTCAACAACTATCAGTGACTGAAAGCAACATAGAACTGTATATATTGAGAGTCCCAAATTGTTGTTACTGCAATACTTGTGTGTGCGTTCATATACTGTAGTGTACAGTACAGTAGTTATAGTTTAGGTGCACTCCACCTTGACCCCTGCCATGGAAAACTGTCAGACCAGCGGTGGCTCCAGAACTTTGCTGACAAGTGGTCCGACATGTCCGACGGAGGGGTCTGAACCAAGGGACAAACTAGAGCCTCTGTCGGGGTCACAGAGAGTTTTTATGGCTTAGGCCTAATATGGTCCAGATTTTGCTTTTAGACGGCAATATTTAAGGGATTGACAATCAATATAATGTTTATTTAGATAGGCAAATTATTTTTTTCACAATTTCATTGTAGCATCGGCAGGTCCAGGCCTGTCTCTGACGGCGAGGGGAGGGCAAATATAGCTGTTTTAGTCGTCAATTTTACAGGTAAAAATAACCAGCCAAATGGTAAAAATTGTGTTTTTTTGTTAAGAAAAAAAAAACTCACTGATTGGGCCTACAGTAGGTATTCTAGGCTGAACTTTTTAAATAAATGAACATCATTCCAATCTACGCCTAGACTAAGTCATTAAACCCCACTCAAAAGAGGTAGCGCCAGACACTGCACACAGAGCTGAATATTTATGGACAAATTTACCAGTAAAAGTGGGAGAACACAGCCACTACATTCAATCCATGCTTCAGAATCTAGACTAGACTACCAGTGAATCATACTACAGTACAGCAGAGTAGAAGCTGGCAAAAATGTATTCACACCTTGCTGGCAGCTGCTTAATCAGAGAGCAAAATAATCGATGCACAGACAGTAGGACTAATAAGTCTACAATTTTATCTTTAGTAAACTTTAGTTGGCAACAATGAAAACAACAAATTGAAAAAATGATCTACAAAATTGGGTGGTTCAATTAAATATTATTTTACAAAATTAGTATGACAGAGTTACAGTAAGGACTTACTGTAGTGGTTGGGACAGTAGTGGTGATATACTGTAGAAGCTTCCTACAAAAAAAAATAAAAACTTCTGAATGACAACAAACCTTGCATTTCTCCTAACACTACCAATTTGATCTTCTCCGACTTCACAACGTGTGTAGCCATTTAAGATTCACATAGATTTCCAGTAGTTTATAAAACAAATAGGCTCAAATTCTGTGCATAAAACTTTTAGGCTTTTAAAAAGCACCTGCAAGAAATGTTAGCATGTTGCACCATTAGCCACGTTGCATAGGGGTATACTGTGTAACTGGACTTCAAACCCTGGATTTGTACACAACCTTTCTGAACCTGCAGTTGTGTACTTAGCAGTAACACCAAGTGTTAAACACAAACACCTGTGATAAAAATCAAATCTGGGATCAATTTACATTTGATTTTATTATTATACAACAGCTGATTCTTTTTTATTTTAGCAGAGGCCTTGTGTCTACTGAAAAAATGCCAAACAATTGGTTATTCTTCCTTTAAATGGGTAATATCCTACATAACACATTTCTGCTCAATGAAAACCTAATTCGAATACAATGTTATAACAGTAAATTATTTTTGCTCCCACCCCATTAACTGCAAAAATTTAACCATGTTTTTTAATAACCATATACTAAAAGGGACTATCCAAAATTGTTATCATATCGGAAAAGTGGGGAGGGGGTTGACAGTGTACAGTAGGCATCCCTTTTAGCGGGAGTGGATTACAATAAATGCTGTGTTTTGTACTGTACTCTTGTAAAAATGTTGAAAATAATGGATGAACTCTAAATAACCGGGTTAAAATCTTGCAGTTAGTAATGAACCCATACTGTCTATTGTGCATTAACATTAACTGTAAATAATTAATCCAGCATTTTATCATATTTCTTTTTTTTGCTTGCTATAATGTAAGTTTGCTGTCGTGTATTTGTAAGGACAGCTTCTCAATAGTAATTTGGTTTACTTTCAGTTTTCCTCAGGCTTGTGTTTTTGTTTTTCTTGCCTGGAAATAATAAATGAAACGAAATAATTAATGTTGTATATAAAAATAACTATCTCAAAAGAAATAGATACTAGACTCTATTGCCAATAATTAACTAAATCTATTAAATTATAATAAAATGTGATAGCCTATTAATCAGCCATCCATTAATTAAATAATTACCAGCTACCGAAAATTCAACTTTCTTAATAGGCCTATGATTTTATAGATA